TGTCCTTTGTCTTGCCCCCTGCCCCTGCAGTCTTACAAGTCCCTGCCGGGTGACAGTCTTTTGTGGTCAATTTGTTATACTTTTCAGTTACAATATTCTGCAATATGGAAACCAAGCCAAATGCCTGATTAAACGACATTGGATGAAGCTGTGCTTCAGAATCCCCCACAGGAGAGATCCCTCACCTAACAGCACAGAGTTTTTTTGTCTAGGCTCTGGCAACTCAGAGGGACACTATTTAATGGTGTTTTTCAGCCAGTCCCCTCCGCCTGTGTCATCAGCTGCCTCTCACTGAGGTTTGTTTCTGTTTAACACTTTTTCTCTCCCTCATTTCCTGATTCCTCTTGTCTGCAGGCATCACGGCAGTGGTGTTCACCATCTGCTGGGTGCCATTTCAGGCAGAGTGGCAGCTGAGCAGCCCTGCTGCCCCCTGGGTAGACCTGATGCATGCCATCTTCTAAGGTGTCCACATCCTGTCGGGCTCGTCTTCTACCTCAGTTCTCCCATCAGTCCCGTCATTTACAGCGTCTTCTCCTCTCATTTCCTTATCTATTGTTGAGATCTAGTCTATAGCCAGGCGCACAGTACTTCCCCTCCTCTGGGATTCACTCCGAGGTCGGGACACCAGGATGGGATGCTTCTCACTGGAGTGCAGAGCTCAGTTTATAATACTGGACCTCCAATACTGCATATGTCATATATCAATATTGGAAACTGTCCATGGAGTGCCTCCTCCACAGTCATAAGATCTTGAGCCCAAAAGTAAGAATGGCCTGAAACTAAGAGAGCTTTCATCCAAATATAGGATTTTATCTGATGAGCTAAAACAGGAATATTCTTCACTGGTGACCTACTGCTGGGAGATGTGCAAGGACTAGCCCTGCAGAGAGCCATTGTCAGATTAAGTCAACAGTTCATACTCAGCTGGCCAGCACAGCTGTAGAGAGGTATCATTAAGTGCATATGGAGATTGTCTCACTTCTCTGTGGATCGTCTTGGAGATTTTTCTGGTATCTACTTTGCTAATGACTGCTGATCTGCAGTTCTGTAAAACAAGTTGGCAGGTTCTTCATAAAGGCAGAAATGAATGGACAAGAAAGGGTTAACTTGCAAGCAGGTGTGTGGCCCTTGCATTTTGAAGCAGGTGTGGGCTTATCTAGAGTGACAATTGCACCTAACAGAGATATAGATTGCACCCACACCACACACACGCGCACACACACTATAAAGTACTTAAACTTTAGGTGGTACTCTTTTATGAGTAAAAAAGAGACAGGGATTGGCTTTGACCCAGTAGCTTTCAATCTCTTCTCTCTCTTAAACAGTAGATGCTGAGATGCCTTTTTAAACTGCTCTTACGAGCTCACGTGGTACTGAGAAGCCCAGAAGCTTGTGCCTCACCTCATAAGGGCTTAACACCTCCCTTTGCGATGGTAATAACAGTACCCTTCTGAGGAGGGAAGTAGGAAGCCTGGAGTTAGCATTTAAAAGGTCTGTCAGACTCTGAAACCAAGGCTCAGCCCTTGCTAGCCTGGCTTCATCCCTTTTTCTCTGCATCCTGCTCCGGTGGTGGTTGCAGATAGGCAGCCAGTAGACAATGTCACCACACTCGTGTCATTCAAACAGAAAAAGCACAAAGATGCTGTCCAGCTAACAACTGGGCCACGTGGCTGTGACTGGGGAGGAAGTATAAAGTATAATGAAACGAGACATAAATCAGTAAGCTGCTGTTTTCTAAAATGTGGGATGAAACTTGAAGAGTTATTCTTGATAGTGAAGTTCTTCTAAAGGCAAAGATGTTGTCTTAACTGATGTTATATCAGCATGGTTCCTCAGTGAACATAACCATGCTCTGCTTTGTGCGTGCTAATAAATGATCTTCAGGTCTTCAAGGCAGCACTGACTTAACAGGTTGAGGACCTGCTCTTGGAGACTGATTATGAAAGTGTTTCTCTTCTAACTGGAGAGTTGCTTCTGACAGTGAGGGCTGGGTCCATCTCAACCAGCTGGAGGCTGGGGATTCATATGGCATGACTCATCTGATTTATTCTAAATATATGCTTTCAGGTGAGATGAATTGATTCCACTGAGTAGACTCATTAAAGCTCACTAAGTAGAAAGGACTTTAAAGGGGCTAGCTCAGATGTAGATGGTTATATTTTATCAGATTGATCTCATTCTGGGTAACCCAGAGCCTTTGAACTTCTAGACCAAATATGGTTTTCAGGTTCACTATTACAGTATTGTGTGATTTCACTAATGCTCCTGAGAGCAGAATTTGGTCTCCTGACACAATTTGTAGGTTTGGTTCTTGTCTTGCTTTGGTATTGGAAATGCTTATGAAATATGTTCTGTTTACTGACTTGATTCGTTGATGTATAATTATAAAAACATTTTTAAATACACTGTTTCAAAAGCCTGCTGCAGACACATCTAGTCACCCTTTAAAATTCCCACTTCTGTGAGAAGTGAGCAGTTGGGTAGATTTTACATCCTTGCTGTAGCTTTCGGTGGAGTCAGTCTCTGACAAAGCCGAAATAATGTTTGGATATTTCTTCCCCAGAAACAAACAAACAAACAAAGCTTAAAAAATTACTCAGAATGAAAATGTAAATTCTATACCAAATGAAGAGCTTATGAAGACATCTTAAAATGGTAGAGTGTGCTTGGAAACATGAGTGTCAGTGCCTGGGTTTGAGGGTGACTGACTAGCAGATGGAAGACTTTTTGGGGTCTACATTACTGATGGGAAAGTAAAACACCTTCATATCTCCATAGCTGTCCACCCCAAAGTTTCATCCTGACCAGCAGCTTGTGGGCGTAGAGCCTAATTTTAATTCAGCCATTTTTAAATATTGGAAGACATTTAAACGTTATCCAGGGTAGCTGATGGATAAACAGTCAGTTCTTTTGTTTCAGGGCAAGAAGAACAGGCCAAGAGTGATACTTAACACCTCTACTCAGAAAAAGCAGAGTTAGACACCCCAAATACCTTGCAGTCAGACATAACATCTACTTGTGAGCTCAAAGCCTGGAGAGTACTGTTGCATCAGGCATGCCACAGCACGGTGGAGGAACCTCTCTACAGGCAATGCACAGTGCAACAGGTCTATCTGCAGCCGTAACTCCAGGCATGACCACACATGACAGCAGTGAGAGTTTACAGAGAGTTTATTACTATTTTCATAGCCTAGGTTAAATACTTGAACACACAGGGATGTACAAGGTGTGAAATGTAATCACCTACAAAGACCAGAGGAAACCAATGCAGCAGCAACCATGACTGCCTGTAAGGCAAGACTTAGGCTATTTCTCACATTTAACAGGGATGTGAAGTACTCTGAACAAAAGCAGGGAATAGAGTCTGTGAATCACAGATTTCTAGGCCTTCACTGATGGTCCCTCTACTCAGTGGTAAAGTTGAGGAACTGCACACAAAATAAAACCTGGGAGAGCAAAAGAGAAGGGAGGCAGGAAGACTTATTTTCTCATCCTCTGAGGCATGTCCATTTGTAAGACCTTGGGTGAACAAGAAGCAGCAGGATGTCAAACTACAAGAGGATCTGGCCTCATGCCAGTGATGGTATTGGAGAATATGCACTTCAAAAAGCCTTTGATGAAAAAGGGTTGTGCTAGTATGCCCACCCTCTGTGCTACCTCCAGGATTTTCATGCCATACAGCTGTGCTTGTGCTCTGCAGTTAAGCTTTTTATATGAAGGTAATAGTTATCTTGACCTGACCCTCTACTTGCTTTTATTTCAGGCTCCAGCTGGGGCTTCAGTCGCAGTACTGTCCTAAACATGAAGGGGCATTGTAGGAGCCAAGACTGGTGCTACTTTCCCTGTCTCGTAGTCATGATGCCTGACTCTTTCCCCGTCACAGTTTTGTCATGTTGTCATCTGATGACATGTCATCTGCCCTGCCTACTTTGGCATTGAATGGGCACAAGAAGGGAGAAGAAAATGCACCTGTGGCTTTGCAGAATGCCTTCAGCTGCACCTAGCCTAAAGGTAGCACTCCCCAGGCTAATGCACTTTCACTTGGCATCCTACCTCATCGTTCTTCTAGAGATTTGCTTGCTCATTTCTGCGAAATAAACAGCTTCACCTCCACTATCTGCATAGTGATCTATACCTGAGTCACCATATGCAGCTGAAGTTTACACTTCACAGGACATGCATAAATAGAACAGGTACGTATCCATACAGACACCGTGCCCGAAACATATATACAGATTCCTGTCCTCAAATGCCATACTTGCACACACATGCATACACACATGTCTACCTATGCACTGAGACAGTCACAAACGTAAGTCAGCTGGAATATACCAGTATATATTTATATGGTCCTGCTCGCTGTAGTAGACTTCAGCACCTGTACTTAAGTGCTACAATTTCCTTCTGCAGAAATTAATGGAACCAAGATAAAACTACATTGCTGTCTGCACCTCTCACAGTTTGCTTGTCATGACCCAGGAAAGAAATGGACCTCTCGCTTCCTAGGTGTCACAAATTAGGCCTGGTATCAGGCTGGTGGCATTTTTAGCACACAATGCTAACCCGGTAAGGAATCTTGTTCATGGCAGCTGGGCTCCTGAAGACCCTTAGAAGAACTCTTGGACTGAAGACAAGATATTTTCTGAGACACAGGAAATTCTCAACCCTTTGATGATGCCAGCCAATCACCACAAGGGTCATCAGGCAGTATTAATGTGTGAAGACTTAAGCGCTGGGATTTTTTAATGACATCCAAATGCCATTACCTCCAGCACATTCCCACTTGTTCTTCCTGCAAGCGTTACCAGTCATGAGCCAGCCTGCCATGCAGTGCCTTTGCAGCCTTTTTGGAAGTGAAACACAATGTATTTTTTGGAGGAAAGAGTCATTGGACAGCATCTTTCCCTTTTTAGTGGCATCCATAAAACCACACAGACAGGAGAGTCTGGGAAGACACAGATTCTGAGTCCCAGAAATGGTTAGAAAAGAAGAGGGGACAGTTAGCTATAGAATACAGGTTTACGAAGCACACGCACCACATTGTATGTGTTCAGCCCTGGTGCATCAAAACCAGGAGACAAGCCCTTGCGATCGAATGGATAAAAATTGAAAAGCTGCCCATCTTGAGTCTCCAACGAGATGGAGGCAGAGCCCAGGTGCAGAACACATGGGAACTCCTTGTCAAAAACAACCTGGAAGACTCGATCTTCCAAGTGGTGGAGCTTGATTGTCCGGTACTTTTCAGGGATTAGCTCTTCAACATGAGGCCCAAACTGCTGCATGACCAGCACCCCACCAGGTCCAACTTTGATCTCATAGAAAGTCAGATTGGAATAGGTGTAGTAGCCAACATAAGGGACTGGGCTTGGAGGAGGAATCAAGCTTTTCTCTGCTTCCCTGAACGCCGTCTCCATGGCAGGAATAAGATACTCATATGTCTGGCTCACAATGTCTCTCCCCTGTGGCCTAGGTCCTGCCATCAGCACAATGAAGCTCAGACGGAGTTTGGGGATAAGGGAGAAAGTAGCTGAATAACCATCGAGGTCTCCATCCTTCCTAATGACATCATAGCCCAATTGCTCATTAATCTCCCACGGTGTGCCAGTCTTGTTAGCAAAATAGTCAGTGGAGCACTTAAACAGAGGGGTCAGCATCGTCTTCACAGTGTCAGGCTCTAAGAGGCGACGGTGATAGGTGCCTAAAAAGACCATTGCCAGCTTGGCAAGGTCAGCAGCTGTGGAGTACATCTGGCCAGAAGGCCTGTACCAGCCGAGGTCGTAAAGAGGGGCTGGCTGCCGGCTGCCATAGAAGCCCACGGCCATCTGGGAGCGGATCGGAGGCGTGATGTCAAAGCCGGTATCCTCCATGCCCAAGCGGTCCAGGATGTTCTCTGAGATCCAACGCTGGTATTCCCCCTCCGCCACGTGGTCAGCCAGCACATGTGCCATCAGTGAGAAGGCTAAATTGCTGTAATGGCACCTGAAAGAAAGAGGAATATATCTCCATCAGCCTTACGGTGGTGCAGGTACAACTATGTGAAAACAATGGCTAGGTCTCTCTCCTCTGGGGAAAGACTGTCATTTATCAGATCACACACTAAATAGAGGAGGGATGGAGAAAAAATAACAGTCCTGTTACCTTCATTTGTTATTAAGTTGAGAAAGAAAGACAAATTTTTTATGGGAACATGAGCCGAGCTATTTAACCTCTACTTATAGAAAGAAGGCCAGAGATGGTACAACTCAAAAAAAAAAAAAAAAGAAGAAAAGGCCAAACCTGTGTATTTGCATATCCTGACTTATTACTTATAAATGTTCACTAAAGAATGGATTCATTCTTTTCAAGAGCAGAGTTGAGAGGTACAGATGCTTACCTCAAAGGTCTCAAAATCCCAGGTAAGCCTCTTTGGAGATTTAACATGGTGCAAACTCCTAAGCAACCCAGCTACCGTAAGATAGTAAAAGAACTTAAAAAGCACTTAAAAGCCTGCAAGGCAGCATCCAGCAATGTTAAGTTGCTAAAGACACCAGCATGCTTGAATCTTTAATATCCACAAAGTGCTTTAAATCTCTACACTTGAGTGAAGTTTAAGGACATAAGGGTTAGAAGGGGCACATTTTTTTTCCAAAGATGTTTTCAAAATTCATGATGTTTTCAATCTTGTTTGTTCTTCTGACTTGCGTGAAGCCACAGACTATTTAGATCATAAAACTGATACCAATTCAACTGTTTCCAACCCATCTGGCTGAATAAAAGCATGCTGAATATATATATTTTTACCTCAGGAATGAATGCATATTGGATCTAAAAGTTAATATCTGAAATAGGGCCAAAGTTCAACGTTCCCAGGAAAATATTAACATTTCTGTAGCAATGACTGGGAAGTTCCTTTAGGAAGAATGAACTGCTAGCATGTAAAGTGTATCCAGGAACAGGGAGACAGAGCTAAAACTCTCACCTCAGAGCTAATCAACACCTCAAGTTATAAGGGGTTTAGAAACTGTGAGCGGATGTCCTCATATATCTTACTGATGAGCATGATGTAAATACCCAGGTTTGATTGCTACTCAGGTAATAGGCTTTTAACAGGGTACGTAAATTGGAATTAACTCATTGACAGTTTAGAGATGGAAATGTCTACAGATGTAGGAAAATTCTTGGTAAAATATATGACAGTTTCCATCGGTTAGATTAATCTGCCAGGCCATTTTTGAAAATCTACATCGTAAACATTTTAAGGTTTATTGGACTTAACTACAGCAGTTTAATTTGCCTCATCTAGGCTTCTCATTTGGGCTCTGCACTCAATCGGGAAAATATGGCATGCCTGAAGGCCGCTCCTGCCAACCTAAGCCAGGAGTTATGCGTAGATAGATGAGCTGAAGCTCCCCTTAGGAATCTTTTTCCATTGGCCATGGAGACCCCGGTGTGGCTAATGTCAAGGGAGAAGGGCATGATCCTAGACTAAAAGTCCACAAATTAATACATCTGACCTGGTTCCTGGGTCAGCAACCAATACATCATCTTTCAGGAGAGCTAGGGCATCTTGCGTATTGCCTTTCCACAGCAGGCTGGTAGATCGCAGCCGCCTGGGCAGACCTGTGCCATGAAGAAGAAAAGTTCAAACAACTTGAGACAAATCCAGCCCAGGAAATGTTGAGTCTGGTGAAGAAGGAGCAAAAAGCAGGATTCAATAGCAAGATGGAAACAGCCACGATAAACACATATACTTATACACAGGGACCGACTCATACTAGACTGCAGGCCAAACTGTGTAAGTCATAGGCCACTGAATCTAGGTAATGTAGCTCCTACCCCAGCACCAACTATGGATTGCTGCGTTTTGGTAAAAATGTCTTGACAAATGACAAAACCTTGACCATCCCCAAGCACATTTTGGAAGGGAAGAGCACAGCAGATGCTCAGGAAATCCCTGCCCTTATTTCTACATTACTGTGCTCCCTGGCCTTCAAAGTTGTGAAACAGCCCCTGTATACTGATATTTGTTCTTTACTCCTCTCCACAAAAGGCTTGAACTTCTCTGACCCATTCCAGGCTTGGCCTGGAAGCTAAACTATTTTTAGCTTATTTGATTCAGCAATAGCAACATTTCTCCAGTTTTTGAATGCGGAAACATGGACAGATTTTTTTCGACTTTTAATTCTACTACCCTGAAATTCACTAAAAACTTTGGGGCAGGGCTTTTTAAAATGCCACAACTCTTTTGCCTTTCACTGAATTACAAGAATGCACCAGGTTTGTGGCTTACTAAGTACAGAACTTGGACTATATCAGGAAATAAATCCTCCTTGCAGTTGATAGCTGACTTTGGTTTTCAGGTTAGGAGAAAATCAGGAAGGATACATGACAGAAAAATGACTTGCCATCGTCTGCTCAGTGAGCATGTGCTAAATCTTGGCAAAGCTGAATTAAGCCCTATTCTTTTGTAGCAGCAGCACATGTTTTTCCCAACTGGCCTGACCTTGGAATTTGAACTGGAACCAGAGCAGTTTTCTACTTCTGGTCTGTGATTATTTGTGTAGCTTAATGACCACGTAAGAGACACAGTAAATATCTTCCAGCAGATGCTGGGCTGCTTCTTTTCCCACTTGCCTCAGTGGTAACAAGGAAGATGCCACACTACCTAGAAAGGTCACCCAGCTCCATGCCACTAGTGCAGTGTCTCTCTTGAGGTTCACTGAAAGGCTCCAGAAATGGTAAACCAGAGAATGTGTGAGCATCCAAGTCATTGATTTCTACTTCATGGGCTGCTAATTAACGTGACAAGCATGCTGTTAATAATTTATAAAAGCATCTTATAATGTCATTCATGCACATTTGAAAATCACAGACTTACTTACTTAACAAGCTGGAACTTCACTCTAGCAATGTACACATCAAGTGTTGAGGAGAAAACTCTTTTTCTGGACTGTTCTTTGCAATATGCGATATGAAAAAGCTCAGATAATGAGGATATACAATAAACCATTTTCTACTGGAAGGATACAGACGAAAAACTGTTTGCAATGGCCAATGCAGTGACATTGCTAAGCAGAACCTACTCTACTCCTTTTCTTTTCTTTTTTTTTTTTTTTTGGACCATCAGGAAATGTAACATGTGACCTCAACATTGCATTTGATATTCATTTAGGTTTTTGAAATTGTGTTTCTCCCTCTACTGGGTTGGCAGGGTCCAAGTTGGTTAGTGCACCCTGCTGATGTGGTATATATACCGACCTCTGGCACATTGGGCTACATCCTAAAAAAAAAAGGATTTAGTGCATAAAGGGAGCTAAACAGGGGCTCAGAAACTATGCATCAAGGGAGGTATTCATCAAGGGAGGTGTTCATCCACCCTCAAAGGTCTGGCAGAAACACTTCACCATTACACATCTTTTCGGTGCTTAACAATATATTGGAGCAGAAAAGCAAACCTTTGACTTCTAGGAGCCAAAGCTGGCTTTTAGTCTCTTGGCTAGCTTCAGCTGATGGTCTGCTCCCTCCTGAGGTACTGGACTTTGTCTACATGCTGTTTTGAACTTAAGTCCTAATTTGGGGTATTTATTGCAGTCTTGGGATAGGATGAGGGGCTAAATCGTAGGTGCTGCAGGGTTTAGTCAAAATGCTGCACCAGATCTCAGCACACTGCATCTTTGGCTAACGAATTCTAGAATCTCCAAGTTGAGCATTAACAGCTATATTTCTGAGAGAGGCTATGGATCTCCACAGTCCTGTGAGCTCCTTTGCATTGACATCAGAGTTACCCACTTAAAATAACAGCAGCAGATTAAGAGTCCTCTGTCAGCAAGTGCAAAGCTATTCATAGCTCAGGAATCCCAGATCAGGGACTACACTGACAGCTAAATTTAGCTCAGCAATGAAGGTCTATCTGTTCAAAGCAAAGAAGGTTTGGTGTCACTCTGACCCTCAACCCTGCATCTCGGAATAATAAGGGCACTCTGGAATGGAGTGCAAAAGCTGTTGTGCAATTTGAGCCTACTGTCAGGTCATGCTATGGTGTTGAAAGAAGTATATATTCATCCTGCCTGGGGGAATCAGTTCCCCAGCCCACAGTGCACCTTTCCAGCCCCTTTGAGCTGGAAAGGTGCCTGTAGAGGAGCTTCCTTTTAGCACTTGACGAAGCTGCTGACAGCTTGCCCTCAAGGATTCTGCCTTAAATTGGGGAAGTGCAAAAGTGCAGAGTCCGTACTGGGAACTGGTCTCAGCAAAGGCCTTTTTTATCCCTGGTATATTGTCTATTCTCTCTGTGGCCTTTTTCAAAAGGCACAGTGAAGTGTAAAGTGCAGGCAGGTAGCATTGTCATCTCACCTGAGAGCTGGCTGGCCATTCTGCGCAAGGTAACAGGTGATGGCTTAAGTGGCATCGAGCCTTTTTCCAAAAAAATCAGTCCATCTGCTGTGTATCTCTGTTCTGGTTCCTTAAGTCTTCCCAGAGGGTTTTTAATAGCAAAGTTCTGGGCATAGCGTTCCAAAGGGTCGTCCAGGGACGTGACTTTCCCTTCCTCCCACATCTTGTACAACATAATGGTGGGAAAGATCTTGGAGACACTGGCAATTCTGTTAAGGAATAAACATTTACGAAAATTCAGCATTAAGCAACCCATGAACGAAGATGCTCGGAAGACCAAATCACCCAAGTAACCCACTACCTGAAATTTTAAGTGTAACACCTCTGCTAATGCAGTAGGGAGTGGCTAGAAAGCAGGAAAGCAGTTTGCATTAATATCCTTAACTCTGGGCTTCATAGACTGAAATACAGCCTTCAGTAGTATCTCCTCACTTGTGGAGTGGACTACAGAACTTTTTCAATCCACTTAATAATCATAAGCTGATGATTTTTGTAAATTATTGCTTAGTAAATACCATAAAAAACACAAGTGGATTGTCGGAATTTTAAAATTAAAACACCACTAAAGTTTTGCAGTTCACATTCAGACTTGATATTAGGTTGCTTGAGAACACATTAAGATTTAGAAAAGGTCTTCTGGAAGAAAGTGAATAAAGTCCTGTATGCAGGGACTTCATGCATGATCCATGAAGTATGATACAGAGTAAAAAAACAACCCATCACAGCTGCTGAAACTTTCCACACTTGTTTATTCTGACGGTAACATTTGATAGTCATATTGAAGCACATATGTTGCAAATTTATCAAACTTAGAAATTGCTGAAGACATATCTTTAAAGAAATTAAAGCCTGCTTTATAGATCAGGGCTTTGTTTGTTTGTAATATGCATTCAGGGCTTGATTCTGTCTTCATACAAAAAATAAAGGCCAATATGTCCTTGACTTCACTGGGAGAATGAATAAGCCTACAGGTCTACTTTGTATTCTCAGAATATACTCCTCCAAATTGCTATTGTTTTGCTAAACTGAATTTTTTTGTCCTCTGGTACCAAAAGACTGTACCCTCACTGTTCACAAAGTTTGTGCCAGTTTCAGTCTTTGGTTTGTGCCCTAGCCTCCTGGTGGTTTTCCTGTGTGAGGAGCAATAGGACCACTGCTCCAGGATGTTCACTGGTATTCACATTTAAAATAAAGATAGATCAAATTTAAAAAAAAAAATCCCAAAATAAACAACTCATTAAGCCATAGGTGAATGATAACTTAGGGACTAGCTGCAGTATTGTCTCATGAAGATTCAGTGTGACCCAGAAGAGGTTTCTGCAGCCAACCACTGCACATAGGGCAGGATAAAGCAGGGCTTGTGACAGCAACTCTGTTCCTAGAGATCAAGTCTCCAATACACATAACTGTTGCTTCCAACTCTTCTGCCTGCAGTATGTCTGTCTCACCTGTAAATGGTGTACTCATTGGGCACCACTGAGAAGGGGTCCGAACCATTCTTCTTCCCAAAGTTGCCTGTCCATAGAACAGTATCATTGTAGATAACTATGGCAGACATGGCAGGGACACCAGAGCTATGAATCCTTTGGCGCAGCTTCATATCCACCTGGAGAAGGACAGGAAATTATGAATTTCCAAACGAAGAGTCTTATAATGCATCTCATCTGTAACATGTAGTACTAGACCCAGAGAATCAGCCCTATTTAATGCCAAGTACTTGAGAGTCTGCATGAGAGCTAGTGATTTTTCAAATGTGTCTTGGTAAAAAGAATGTACTTTCTTTGGATCGCTTTTGCTGAATTACCCAGTTTTTTCTTTATTTGGATCTTTCTGTATGTCCGCTGTGTAGTAGAATGTGGTGCTCATCCTTGTACTACCTATGACACTCATATGATTAAAAACAAATGCTAATACTCTAATGACTGTAATTTCTTCCATTTTAAATTGTATTGCACACATCTATTCCTTGCACTGCTATGTTAGGTTCAAAGACGTATGAGAACAAGGTTCAGGCGTTTTAAATATCCCATGACACTTGTCATGCCACCAAACATGCTAGAGCTGGAGTCACGTTTAAACCACCATCTGAGTAACAGCACTCAGACTACAGGATTGTGATTTCTATTTACTTTCTGTTGTGCTCAGGTTTTGTAGACCTAAACAGCCACTGTGCTCTCCCCGCAGAGCAGAATGCATTGGTCTCTCTCTTTTGTGACTTTCTCAAGGCTATACGATCATTATTCATAAGTTTTCCTTTGCACAGAACAGTTCAGAGGTAGGAAGTGGTCTTCCAAGCCTAGCATTTGAGACAAGAAGGGCCAGGCCCTGTAGTGTCCTCAGAAGCTCCTCTGCGGATGAACGCGCGAGGGTACATTGACAGCAGGCGGTGGGAATACCCAGCTTGCTCCAAGTCCTTCTGTACTGGTTCACTACCCTTCCCTTCCCATATGCTGACAGCACCTCTGGACTGCCTGGATGCATCAGTACCTCTAGGGAACAGAGTGATATTGTGTCGGCAAGTATGGTCCTCCTGGTTTCCTCAGAGAGAGTCAGGCATGTAGCCCTACCTGGACTGGCAGAAAGTTCCTAGAAATATATGATGCTTTACCAGACTTGTGCATCACTGAATTCAATACCTTTGGATCTGGACACTAGCAAGACACTTCTGAGGAAAGCACAGGCCTTTCTGGCAAGCACAGTCCATAAAATATATCCTTAAGCTTCATCTGTTATTGAATATAAACTCTCCTGTTTCAGGATATGAAGCTGCCATGAGCTAAGAAAAACCTTCCCCTGTAAGTAATATAATTGCACATGATGGGATTTAACACTTCCCTTTGAAGTGTCTGGTGCTCTCCAGAGTTCCAGTCCCAGGAAATACGGATCCCTGGCCTGGCATAGGGCAGTAGTTCATGGAGTTTACAGCTGCTCACAGGCAGTGAAGCAGTGCAGTGATCAGATCATGCTGCAACGGAGCTCATAGACCACCATGGGTGCGAGAGCATACGGCAGCCACGTGAGGGTTCAGACTGTCTCAAGCTGCCGAGGGAGAGGAAAGAGCCAGAGCATCCCAGGGAAAGCCTGGAGCTCAGGCCGGCTCAAGCACTGAACCAGCTCCTAGCATCCCTCTGGAGATGTCCTGCTCACACGACTCTGAACATCAGCATTGAGGTTGGAGCTTGCTGCCTTTCCGACCTCAGTTTTCAAAGCATTGATCTCATCAGAGAATTCACACCCCCAGCCCTGGGGGAGTCACTACCACTATCGTATATGTGGCCAGAAAGGAAAGAGGAAAACGGTCTAGTAGTCAGTGTTGTGGCCTGAAAAATAGGAGAAGCAGGCTCAGTTTACCTGCTCTACCCCTGATTCTCATTTTAGCAATGAGCAAGGCCCTTAACCATGCTAAGGTCCAGAGCTGCCACATCTAATTAGGTCTTGGCCCCTGCAACAGAATAACCCTGGCTAAAGGAGAGATGGGACTTTGATGCTTGTAGGACAGAGGAAGGACTGCTGGTGGGTTGCTTGCTGTCTGTATGGGTGACCAAATCTCTGGCTGTTGTGTACTAGGAAGAAAGCCTCCTTTCACTCTCTCTTTCTTCATTTATGACTGAAAGGGTTTCGGAAAGCATTCCAATTTTTGCAGGCTGCAATCCAGCAGATGTGTTGTGGTGAGCATGCTGACAAGACCAAGACCCCTCTGGGAGCAACAGGCAGTTCCAGTGTGCTGGCTGATACTGTCAGGAGATGGATGCTGAGCTGCTGAGAGACAGGGCTGAGAGGCTCAAGCTCCATTAAGCACAGATTTCAGGTACTTCAATAAACTTTACAGAGTTCAGGTGTCTGTAGGCCTAGGCAGAACCTGAGGCCCTCTGAAAATATACCTTTTAGGTGCTGCTGCCTAAGCTCCCCTCTGATCTGTATGTCTTTCTATGTACTACTGTTTAGGTTCTCTAGGCCTTATTCTCATCTGTAAAATAGGACTAGTTTTACCAGCCTACTTCAAAGAAGTTTATGAAGTGCTTGGATACTTCAGTTTTGAGGAAGAAAAGGAAGGGAGGTTAGATGACTCTCTGATGGACACTGTTCTGCACATTTCTCCAGCTCTCTGACTAATCCAAATTGAGCAATAAAATACTCCCCTGCAATAACCCAACAGACAGCGACGGAGACTTCATAAAAATGAGTGTGAAGTGATAGCAATCAAAAATAAGTGCGGACAAAGTAATATGCATGGGGGAAAACAACCCTAATTTCACATAGACACAGCAATGGGCAGGGAGCTGACCATTAGCAGCTTGGGGCTATGATGGATGGTGCTATGAAAACATTTGCTCAATGCCCACTAGCAGGCAAAAATGTAACCCAAATATTAGGGATTATTAGGCAAGTAGCTCAGAATAAAACAGAAAATTCCATTTTATCACTGTGTAAGTCCTTGATTCACTTGCATATTGAATACTGTCTAGAGTTCCGATTCCCCACATCTCCACAAGGGTACACTAAAAGTGGAAATGATTCAAAGAAGGGTGAAAAAAGTGATCCAAGATGTGAGACACCTTCCTTATTATGAATGAATAATTAAGCTAGGACTTGGAAAAGAGACAAATGAGAGGATATATTATGTGATAGGGGTCTCCAAAATCAGGAGTGTCCTGTCAGAGCATGGCTGTTCTTATAGCCCATCCAGTCAAGGCAACACTACAGTATTTCCTCATTCCAAACAGAGCCTACTAGAATTTCAGCCAGTGCTAAAACTTCAAAGACAGTGTATCGTGCTGAGGAAAAGCAGGTCTCTCTTTGATTTGGATGCAGGTTCCCTTGCCTTGCTTTGCCTTGCCTTGCCTTCCCTTCTCTTCCCTCCCTCTTTTCTGAGGTCAGCTCCAAGTGACTTTCTAATGTTTGAATGCTGGCATGCAAGAAAGCCAGCAAAGTAATAAAATAAGGAAGTGATGGTCACTGATGAATGGGAACTGTTGGGTCAACCACTTGCCAGAATAGGAAGGCTGCCTAAGAGTAGACAAGGATAAGTTGTCAAGACCAAGAACAGCTGTCATTTTGTGCTGAATTATGCTCACCAGACCTCCTGATGGACAAGTAATGCTGTTTGTTCATTAAGCTTTGGATCAAATAACTGCTTATTAATCTGTTTTATATGTTCAGTGAAGGAATTATATACCTCTGTTTCTGGATTCACTGGTCATCTACCTCCTCCGCACCCCATCTCCTTCCCCAGAGACGCTCAGGTGCAAAATATATATTCTCTCCTTTACACTTTCAGAACAGCGAAGTTATGAACTATGTCTCCCTTCCTTTCTGTCTCCTCACAGACCTTCTCCAGTGCATCCTTCAGAATGGGGATGGGGTGGTCCAGTGGTACCGGTTCAGGATAGCGGGGACACATCTGTACAGCTTCTGATCTCACTTCCATCACAGATGGGCCTGGGAAACATTTCAAAGATGGCACAAGTTACTTGAATAGACAGACTAATAAGCTTTAACCACATCCATTAGTCAGAGCTAGCTTTTTCGCTTGTGTTGTTCAAAGCTGAAGGAGACTTCTGCATCGTCAAATAGAGGATATTGGATTGTTTCCACCTGACAAAATACAGGATTTGTAGAGCGCTCTAGATTCTCCTATGTTCGTTCCGACATCATATAGCACATGGGTTAGACAGGAGCTAAAATAGGCTCCACTGACTTCTGCAGCCTGGAAGAATGAGGGACTGGGAGTACAGGCGATGGTTGAGGGCACCTGCTAGTGGGCTTAGACCTGGTGGAAGTGCCCTGCCCACATGTTGTGGAGGGTCTGAGTTTGGATTCAGGAGGACAGGGTTGTCCCATGCATATTGTGACCTCAGGAACCGTCAGTGCCATCTGAAAGTTAGACTATAACAGATGGTGGGCTACAAACACAGTACACACGGTATACAGGAATTAATTGTTTTCTTAATACAGCATAAACACATCTTGAATTTTTGGTGCAAACAAAGATCTTTCATTTCACTGAGAAATGGGAACCTTTCCACTTAGGTCCACTATTTTCTCAGTTGACTCAAAGGTATCCCAAAGCACAGCTCCTCTGCTCGGTACACTATAAGCAAAATGCTTATGATTTCTCATTCCTCTTACTCACTCGGCCTGAAGTATTAGAGATACAGATCAGAAAAGAAATGGCATTACATAGCCTTTGCACTGACTGAGGATGGACCCCAAAGATCTTACAGGAAGCCTTTGATATTCTGTGATAAAAATGTGGAGTTTGAAATCTTTTTAGACAATATTAGTCTGTTGGTCTGTTACTGGCACCTTCACTGTGCATTTTATGCCACCTTTGGGCTACTTAAAACTTTGATCCAGTTACACTGTGCATGTTTCATCCTTGCACACACAGTGCCTTTGAGTCTGTCCTCCGAGTTTACAATAATCAACAAAAGGAATTTGAGCGTGAATTGGGGACTTGAGCTGGCCCAAAGATCTAAGATTAGGGGAAGAAAGCAAACTCATGAGCTAAACAACATGTAAGCTGTAAAAGAGAACCAGTTTTAAGCTGGAGTGCCAAAGAAAAAGAGAAAATGTGAAATAAAATGGCCCACCCCTTGATGAATGAATTAATTAAGGTTAAAGTTAGACATGTTAGCAAATCCATCCATGAGTTAGTGGTCCTGAAGACGTTTCCTGCCCCAGCTCCAACTTTCTTCTGAGTGTGAGATCACTCTGGCACTGGCAGAATTTCATGGCACCTTGTTAACCCTATAGTCCTCTCCTCTTTGTCCTTGCATCAACTAGCAAGTGGTAAGTTTGTGTGCTGTAAACTCTTTGAGGAAAAAACAGCCACACGGCGCAAGAAAAGTGTTTAGTGTGCTCAAAAGCTTCACTATCAAACCATGGGCTGGTTTAAAGCTGCTTACTTACTGAGCTCCACCTTGGGGAGGCTGTACTGCCAGAGGAAGCAGCCCATCATAGCAACAGAGAGCAGGAGGAAGAAGATGACCAAGACGTGAATCCACTTCACTTCCATAACAGAGAACTTGAGGAGGCCCCGGCTGCTGGACGCCTGCTGTAAACAGAACAGATATGATCTTAGAGGGAACAGCAGAGAGAGGAACTGCCTCTCACGCATATCAGCTAGGTGAAAGAGACGCACTAAATCAGAGAATAAAGCTACTGGAGGGATAGGGACCAATTCCAGTAATCTTGCAGCACAAGAGCTGGGCATATCACACCAACCTGCAATGCCTGGCACCGGAAACGTCTTCTTGTCTTTTAATGAGTTCCATAAGATGTTAATCTCCCTCCATTTTTGGTTGCCATAGAAGAACACCAGTTGTCCAACTGCTGAGAGCTTGACTTCCCCACAACCTGCAGGCGAACCTCATCAACCCAGGCTGGCAGGATTCTCCTTTATCTCTCTCATTTCCTCCCATCTCAGCTGCCATGCCTTATTCCTGGATATCCTTTCTAAACCCTTTTTCCAGAGTCCAGTATCTGTTCATGGCTGCCACCAGCCAGGTTGTCTGAACAGATCCAGCTTTTATAGACAAAATGATAGAATTTTTCACCATGTACTGCCTTTACCATCTTGTTTTGTCCCTGTAATTCCCATGATGCCATGTACCATCTGTAAGCTTGGCATTTACAGAAGCCATGTTTTGAAAAACTGGCTAATATTCTGGGTTCGTACAGCTCTCTACGCTGGAGATCATCCAGGTTGGTGATACCACCACATACATGTTAAAGAATAACAAGGAACAGATGACAAATGATTAGGTGCCTAAGCACGAGCTCTGCTCTTTCACTGACTGTAGGAGGTCAGGAGGGTACTTTTGAAAGTTTGGCAATTAACGTTATAAAACATATGGCCTGCCATTTGCATCCAATATGGTCTACATTCCAAAGCTGTTTCAGGTTGTCTGGACTCGTTTGTAGTATAGACAGACTAAAACACTCCTTTTAAATTTCCACGTAGCCCTTTTCTCTGATTTCAGATACAGGATGGTTCATCTAAGAGCTTCTGCAGGCAAATGAGCCTTATCACTTAACAACAAGGAATCCTGCAAAGCCACTTCCAGGCTTGCAGATGGCTTTCTGACTGTGAGGAAGGATCCAGCAGGAGAACCTAGCCCTTGCAAAAACTAAGCTGAAATCCTACTTTCTAAACGAGAACAGAAGGATATCGCAATTATTTACAAAGCCTTTCAGTCTGTTCAAACGTTCCCACAAAAATTTCTGAAGGTGCAACTTACTCTAAGCTCTTCCATAACATCCTTAAGCCTTCAGGGTAGCTTAAGACCACACAGGTGCCTGCAGACCCACCTGAGCCTGCTAGAGCAGACATACACTCCACGCTTCAGCTATCCGACCAAGTGACATTTGTTACTTGAGAATGCCTGTTTGACACCAAAAAGAGCTTTGCTTAGTTATACACAGTCTTATATAGTGCCTTAGTAGGTAGGAACCCAGATCCACACTAGGAAAAGCTCAAGTGTCGAGATCTGTGTTTACTCGTCCACACCCTGGCAGGTTTTCGTTTATGCTGGAGGATGTTTCCAAGAGCTGCAATGAGACACTTCTTTCCTGCAGCAAGGAGTGGGATGCAGCAAGGAGTGGGAGTTCCATTACTACTCCCTGGAGTAGTAATGGAATGATTTTCTTATATTTAGTTCCATCATAGTAAGGTGACTCTCCCACCAAACCACAGTTTCCCAGCCATTTTTTTGCCTTTTCTTTCTTCACGGAGAAACCTGGATTCCTGAGTCTCTAAGAGAAAGGTGAAGGGAAGAAATTTTCTGGTACATGCCTCACTTCATGAACTGCATACCCCCAGACCACTAACCAATGACCCAAAGATACTGACACCAAACTCTTCTCATCCTTTAGTCCAAATTCCCCATTTTCTCCTGTGGATCATGAAAGCCCTGAATGTCTGGTTCCTTTTCTGCCCCATAATCCACTGCCACCATGGCCATACTATGAAACTAGAGACATGGACCTCTGTTCTATCCACTGGGCACCAAACAGGCAGAAGTCTAGCTCTGGCTGAAAGGAATATGCATTATGCTAAGGAGATGAACTGATTCAACACCTGGGAGACAGGCAGACAAACAGATAGATAGTTATCTACAAAGAGACTGCTCACATCTCCTTGTCTGATCTCACCTTCCTTTCATCTGGCTTCTCCATCTTGTGTACGTTATTCAGTGACAATCACTGCTAATAGCATAAAAACAATATAGGAGGGGGAAGGCTGTACCAAGCACTTAGGCACATTCAAATGAATGCAGACACATGCAGGAACAAGCACATACAGCTTTCCATGAGAAGCAATCCCAGGGTACACGGTCTTCCCACCCTCCCCATGCTCTTCTAGGCAGACTACTACAGATGCTATGAGCCACTCCGTCAGTGGCACATCGTAGCACAGGTTCAGGAGGGCAGGAAATATTCCCAGCTCCCTGCACATACCATCACCAGAAGCCGTCTCAATCACAGAGGCCGTTGTCAGGCAACTCAGTGTGCGTTTGCTGTACCAAATCCACATCGGCTGATTTCAAGCCTAGTAAGGGTGGAGCGGAGTGCCTTGCCATGCTCCTAAATGCAGCTGCTCATCACGGGCTGCTTTGGCTGAAGTAGCTTTTCCTCTTTAGCCACCTGTCAGTTCTGCTCTGGGTTTCCCTGTCCATTGGACCCATTCAGAGCTTTCAGAAAGTGCTGCAGATCTCCCCTGGGTGAGGAGATTAAGTGACAGGGACAGAGTGGAATTTGCTCTCTGGAAAGTGCCTGAGAGACTGAATGTTAATTCTCTCTAATGCTTCTCTGCCATGTGTGTGAATCACAGCTGAAAGCATCAGGGCTTTGCGATCTATTTATAGCAGCTTCATCTCCTCCTGACATTTGAACAGGAGGCGATTAACTCATGAGGTGGACAGCCCCTGCGTGCCTCCAGCCAGCAGCCCATGGGTAGGCTTGGGAGGGGGCAGGCTGGTCTGTTTGTGGGGAGGAGAGATGGAGGAGCTTACGGCAGGAGCTCGGGCATGCTCCGGGGTTAATCCTGAATAGCGTCCTGGAGTTCCCCTGCAGTAATAGACAGGGTTCCCAGCAAACAGGCTCACTAGCTATAGACAGGGCTGGTATTTTCCTTCCTGAGGACTCTGAGGAAAAGAGGAAGGCTGAGATTTGCACAGGGATAGCCTTACCCGCAGCTGTAACCCATCCATGCCTGCTCAGGAGTCTCTTCTCATCCCCTGCGCTACTGGTCTCCACAAATGAAAAATGCATAAATCCCTGTGATGAAGGGGAAGGAAAGGTTAGTGCAGGAAGGAAAACAGAGTCAGAGCAAAGAGGAAAGCCCGGGCACAAAAGTATAGGGGAAGATTTTCTACTAACACAGAGCAACAAAACTCAACTCTCATCAGTGAAGCAGCAGGGAAGGAACAGCTTTCGGACAGGGAGATAAACCAGAGCCAAAGGCCAGTTCCCAGCAATGGCTTCCTACTGTCTCTGGTTTGTCAGGACCTTGTTTTCACAGCAGGGGCTGGATCCGAGCTCTGTGACTTGCCAGGTCCCATCCTCACTCCAGTGCCCAGCCACAAGGAATTAGAGCTTAGAGCTCTTCAGGGCTGACACGTCCATCATGCCTGCTCTGCCGGATCCCTCCAGGCCTCTCCTCTTCAGCCTCGCCTCTGTCATATAGCCAATCCCTAAAAACCTGAACCCTCCTCAGTCTTGGGAATCACAGTCTCAGCTAAAAAACTATACCAAAGATTTGGAAGGGCTGGAGATTGTAGCCTGGCTGCCGTCCCCTAGAAAAGCTCCCTCCTGCCTTGCTCTCTGTTGGTGGAAATTCAACAGGTAAAAAAAAGCTCTCAGAGCTCTTACCAGCCTTGCTGCTGTTGCCCCCCGCGTTCCAGCGCTGATGAATTTGGGGCTGTCCTGGTGCTGCAGATGTTAAGAACATCTGAAGCACTAATCCCAGCACTCAGCCTCTCTGAGCACAGATTATTTATTGCCTGTGCCTCACCCCTCCTCAAGCAATGCGACATCTGTCCAGGGATGCAGCCAAAAGAGAGTATTGCTGGTGATTTAATGGCTCAAACAATGCAATAGAGTGGAAAATAGGGTACAGAGGAGGGAGTTTACTCTTAACATGCTGTAAACTGGAAATATTCATAATGTACTGCCATTATCATGTAAAGTACCTTATATACGCTCTTCAAAGAGGAGGGAGTGGTCATGCCTTCACTTATGCAGAGAATCCATGGTAGAACACTGACTCCCATCACATCCTTGTAGACTCAAGGAGTGTGGGTTAGATGAGTGGACGGTGAGGTGGATTGAGAACTGGCTGGATGGCCAAGCTCAGAGGGTTGTGGTCAGTGGCGCGGAGTCAAGTTGGAGGCCTGTAGCTAGCGGTGTCCCCCAGGGATCAATACTGCGCCCAGTCTTGTTCAATGTATTCATCAATGACCTGGAGGAAGGGACAGAGTGCACCCTCAGCAAGTTCGCTGATGATACTAAACTGGGAGGAGTGGCTGACACACCAGAAGACTATGCTGCCATTCAGAGGGACCTGGGCAGGCTGGAGAGGTGGGCGGAGAGGAACCTCCTGAAGTTCAACAAAGGCAAGTGCAGGGTCCTGCACCTAGGGAGGAAGAACCCCACGCAGCAGGACAGGCTGGGGGTTGACCTGCTGGAAAGCAGCTCTGCAGAGAAGGACCTGGGAGTGCTGGTGGGCAACAAGTTGACCATGAGCCAGCAATGTGCTGTAATGGCCAAGAAGGCCAATGGTATGCTGGGGTGCATTAGGCAGAGTGTTGCCAGCAGGTGGAGGGAGGTGATCCTGCCCCTCTCCTCAGCCCTGGGGAGGCCTCACCTGGAGTACTGTGTCCAGTTCTGGGCTCCCCAGGACAAGAGAGACATGGCACTCCTGGAGAGAGTCCAGAGGAGGACTACAAAGATGATGAGGGGACTATTCTGTGATTCTGTGATTCTGTGATTCTGTGATTCTGTGATTCTGTGATT